ACAACAACCCAATTTAAAAAATGGGCAGTGGACCTGAATAGACATTTTGCCAAAGAAGACACACGGATGGTCAACAGATGCATGAAAAGATGCTCAACATCTCTAATAATTTGCAGAGAAATGCAAATCAAAACCACAATGAGATACCATTTTGCACCTGTCAGAATGACTAAAATAAAAAATACAAGATACAAGCATTGGCAAGAATGTGGAGAGAAAGGAACTCTCGTGCACTGTTCGTAGGAATGCAAATCAGTGGAGCCATGGTGGAAAACAGTATGGAGTATTTCCACTATTGGATATTTACCCAAAGAAAACAAAAACACTAATTCAATATATGCATCCTTATGTTTATTATAGCATTATTTACAATAGCCAAGATATGGAAGCAACGTAGATGTCCAACAATAGATGAATGGATTATGAAGATGTTTAAGCAGTCATAAAAAGAATGACACTGTGCCATTTGAGACAACACAGAGAGTACCTGGAGGGTATGATGCTAAGTGCAACAAGTCAAACCAAGAAAGACAAATACCACCAGATTTCACTCAAAAGTGGAATCTTAAAAAACAACAACAACAACAACAATAAACGAATAAAAGTAGAATCAGACCTATAAATACAGAGATGGTTGCCAGAGGGAAGGGGGTGGGGGAAGAATGAGCAAAATGGGTGAAGGGGAGTGGGAGATACAGGCTTCCAGTTACTAAATGAGTAAGTCATGGAAATAAAAGGCACAGCATAAGGAATACAGTCAATGATATTGTAATAGCAATGTAATGGGGACATAGCATAATGTGTTAACTTGTCAAATCAGTATGTCATTTACTTGAAACTAATGTAACATTGTGTGTCAACAAACTCACATTTTTTTTTAATCTTTATTTTTGAGAGAGAGACAGAGTGCAAGCAGGGGAGGGACGGGGTGGGGGTGGGGGGGACACAGAATCCAAAGCGGGCTCCAGGCTCCAAGCCGTCAGCACAGAGCCCAATGTGGGGCTTGAACCCACAGACCGTGAGATCATGACCTGAGCCAAAGTCGGATGCTCAACCAACTGAGCCACCCAGGCACCCCCCAAATTTTTTAAAAAAGGAATTGTGATAACTCATTGTTCACTAGGGTGTCTTTTTTCATATAATAATATATCACGGATCTCTTTCCAAGTCAATACATGTAGGTCCTCATGATACAATTTTTAGCTGTTAGCGAGTATTCCATAGTGTGAATTTTTCCGTATCTACTTCATCACTGCCCGCTGGTGGACATTTAGCTTGTTAGTGATCCACCTCAAAGAAATGCAGAAACTATTTTTACTTACCGTATAAGCAAGTACAAAATGATGGCTAACACCCATCATGGCTAAATTTGGACATGCCTGGGTGTGGTGGGAGCTCTCATGCACTGTTGGTGGGACTGTAAATTGGTATATCATTTTTAAAGATAACTATGGCAATATCTTTCTAATTTTTTTCCAAATCCAATCAGCTATGTTAGTGTTCCCCTCTTTTGGTATTATGTTTTTTCATTTTAATTCCAGTATAGTCAACATGCAGCATTATATTAGCCTCAGGTGTAGTGACTCGACCATTCTGTACATTACTCAGTGCTCATCAAGATAAGCGTACTCTTAATTCCCTTTACCTATTTCACCCATCCCCCCACTCACCTCCCCTCTGGCAACCATCTGTTTGTTCTCCATAGTTAAGGGTCTGTTGTTTGGTATCTTTTTTTCTTTGTTCCTTTGATTTCTTATATTCCACATATGACTGAAATCATACGGTACTTGTCTTTCCCTGACTAACTTATTTCGCTTACCATTATACGCTCTAGATCTATCCGTGTTGTTGCAAATGGCAAGATTTCATTCTTTTTATGGCTGAGTAATATTTCAGTGTGTGTATGTGTGTGTGTGTGTATGTGCGTGTGTATGCACAAATATATATATAATGTACATATGTGGGGTATATATATGTATATATTTGTATATAGTATATGTATATATGCAAGTAAATACACACACACACACACACACACACACACACAACCCACATCTTCTTTATCCATTCCTCTACTGATGGACACTTGGGTTGCTTCCATAATTTGGCTATCGTAACTAATGCTGCAATAAACATAGGGGTGCGATATCAATATCTTTCCAATTTTTTTATGTTTATATATCTTTAAGAGAGAGAGTGTGTGAGAGCAGGGGAGGGGCAGAGGGAGGGAGACAGAGGATCTGAAGCAGGCTCTGTGCTGACAGCAGAGAGCCCGATATGGGGCTTGAACTCACGAACTGTGAGATCATGACCTGAGCCGAAGTGCGGCGCTTAACCTACTGAGCCACCCAGGTGCCCCGATACCTTTCTAACTGTTAAGGGCCGTTATCCTTTGTCTTGGCAATGCCACTGCTAAGACTTTACCCTTGCAGGTATACCTGTACAGGTACATAAACATACGTATGTTCAAGGATATAGTAGAGCCCTTGTTAGTAGAGCCCTCCTGAAACTTCACCTTGAAGCTAGTCTCTGCAGGGAGTTTGACTCAAGTGCTATCCGATTAACCAAAAATATTTGAAAGGCATTTTAAATCTTTACCACAGTCTCTCCAAAACAACAAAGAGACATTCTATTCCTGATGACACAACAGTCCCAGAAGTGAGAAGTCTCAGTGGCAGGGAGGAGGCAGGCTGTGAGACCAAAACTGGAAAGGCAGCTCTTACAGAAGTTCTCACGCTGTGCGTAAGGGAACAATGAAGGAAAACCAATCACCCTTAAGAAAAGCCAGACATTTTATCCCTTCTGAATTCTCAAAGATAAGCAAGGTCATGGGCTTGCTGAAAAACTAGATGGGGAAAAGTGAGCAAGCAAGAGAGAGAGAGAGAGGATCCTGCCCCTGATCCAGAATAAAGTATCACCGTTTGTCGTATCCCCTGCAAGGATTTTTGCTTCCAAACTCTCTTGCCCACCATCTATGCCCCCTTGTTTCCTTACAAACAGGACTCGCCCTCTTCCTGCCATATCTTCGGGGTGATTTTGACTTTCCTTGACTTTGAGGTGCCTCTGTTAACACTCCTACATGAAGATTGAGGAGGAAGTCATAGTAATTATATAATTTGATTAGGTCTACATAAGGGGGGGGGTGGCGCATAGCTGGTCATCGAATGATTTTCACCCAGACTATCACCTTGTTTGTTGTTGTGTCACACTAGGTAAGTCATCCGGAGCCTAAGATCTACATCCCCTCCTGCCCTTCCTCTCACCCACTTTTCCTACTGATTGCCAAGCTTTAAGCATCACCTAAACCTCTTGGTCTCCTCAAGAGAGAGCTGATCATTTGTAGTGTATGCCTGGACGTGATCTCTTGATGTTCTCTTTAGATCTGGGGATCCAGTTACCCATGCCAAAATCGGGGACAGGTAAAAGGAAGGAGTCTGGCCACTGTAGCTCACTCCAAATTTATTCTCTGTGCGTCTTATAAATAGCATTCCCAACAGCACTCACGCACACACACACACACACACACACACACACACACACACACACGTATCTGCTTCATAACTAATATTTTCTGGGTACGCATGTTATCAATCAGGTTCTCAAGATAATACATTCTGCATAGCTCATTTTTCTGTGGTACAATAATATCTTGCCTCTGTTTTAAGGAAATAATTATGTAATGTATGTTTGGATGGGCGCAGATGTTGGTTGCTTTTTGTATTCATGGCAAGTATATAGTAGATACTAGTTATCTACTGTACAAAGATTCTAATACGTTTGTAAACCTAGGCCTTGAAAATCAGGAGATTCTCTTGAGTTGGCTAACCAGTTGGTGAATCAAAAAGAATGGGCTCCCACCTTCCTTAAAGGTGAAGATTTACATTATCAAGAAATCATTGGTGGGCGCCTGGGTGGCTCAGTGGATTAAGCATCCGACTCCTCGTTTCAGCTCAGGTCATGATCTCACGGTTCCTTAGTTTGAGTCCTGCATGGGGCTCTGTGCTGACAGTGTGGAGCCTGCTTGGGATCCTGTCTTTCCCTCTCTCTCTCTCTCTGCTTCTCCTCCATTCTCACTCTCTCTCTCTCTCTCTCAAAACAAATAAATGAACTTAAATAAAATAAATCATTGCGGCACCTGGGTGGCTCAGTCAGTTAAGCATCCAACTTGGGCTCAGGTCGTGATCTCGCGGTTCGTGGGTTCGAGCCCCACGTCGGGCTCTGTGCTGACAGCTCGGAGCCTGGAGCCTGCTTCGGATTCTGTGTCTCCCTCCCTCTCTGCCCCTCCCCAACTTGTATGCTCGTTCTTTCCCTACAAAGAAACTCATCCTGCCACCCTCTCATCCACTCCATTGGGTACACTGAGGTGGCCTGGGATTCAGTTCTCTTACCTGTAGGTAACCTGGTTGCCCTCCGGAAAACTCGGGACCTGCATGGTTTACTTAACAGGGACTCCTGGGTCACAGTTTGTTGACTGGATAACGAGTCCTTCAGGCTGGAAACCTGAGTGCTAGACCTGGAGAGAACTTCCACAAGGCTGTTTTCTTCCCTGTCCTCTTCTTTCTCCTTCTTCTTTTGTTTGGCCTTGTCCAGGGAGTACTGCCACTTTACATTCTCAAACTGGAACATGAGAATATTGCTCTCCGTGTTGATCACCATCCTGGAACCAAAGCAACAAGATCACCCACAAAAGGAGCGTGAAGGCCACCACCGCCCGGGGCCTCCAAATAAGGCATTTCTTTTTTTTTTTTTTTTTTTTTTTAATTTTTTTTCAACGTTTATTTATTTTTGGGACAGAGAGAGACAGAGCATGAACGGGGGAGGGGCAGAGAGAGAGGGAGACACAGAATCGGAAACAGGCTCCAGGCTCTGAGCCATCAGCCCAGCGCCTGACGCGGGGCTCAAACTCCCGGACCGCGAGATCGTGACCTGGCTGAAGTCGGACGCTCAACCGACTGCGCCACCCAGGCGCCCCATGGCATTTCAATCACGGTCGTGTCCAATGCCGAGGCCAAGGGAACAGCGCCCAGGGGGAGAGACTGTACAACCAGGATGGTGTCGGCTACTGGAGGATCTGGAGTGATGAAAGGTAGCCGGCGGGGCGGTGAGGGTCGTTTCCTTTAAAATTAAGTGTAAGCGCGGCCATATGTTCTGATTACTTCACTTTCCAAGTTAAAACATTTTTTTAAGTTTATTTATTTTGAAAGAGGGAGAGAGAGAGAGAGGGAACAAGTGGGAGAGGGGCAGAGAGAGAGGGAGGGACAGAGGACCCAAGGCAGGCTCTGTGCGTGGGGCTCGAACTCACAAATCGCTAGATCATGACCTGAGACGAATTCTGGCGTTTAACCAACTGAACCACCCAGGCGGCCCTCAAGTTAAAATATTTTTAAGTGAATTTCCATTCACGGAGTGAGTACCAAGTTCCTAGGGTGCGCAGCGCAGAAAACTTAGCTACTCTGCACCCCACCGTCTTGAAGTTCACTCTTTTTCTCAAGCACAGTATCCAAATACCACGTTTCTATTGCTGTGATGGGGATGAGGAAAACTATAACAGAGGACTTTGCTCCCTCTGTCCCTCCATCATCCCCAAAGTCTCTGAGCATGCCCTAAATTTAAACAGAACAGCTGTGGGGCACCCGGGTAGCTCAGTCGGTTAAGCTCTTCAGCTCTGGTCACGATCCCGTGGTTCATGGGATCAAGCCCCATGTCGGGCTGACAGCACGGAGCCTACTCAGGATTCTGTCTCTGCCCCTTCCCCACTCTCTCGCTCTCCAAGTAAATAAATAAGTGTAAAAAATAAATAAATAATAATAATAAATTAATAAAACATCAGGTTTTTGTTCTTTACCAAAAAAAAAAGGAAGGCAATATGGTTCAGGGAGATTAACTGATGTCTCAAGTGATCTGTGTAAAAGACAATTCTATTTGGGTATTTTCACATAATATCACCCTGAACCTAGCATATAGCAAGTGTAATACTATATATAATTAGTCATTGTTCTGGTTTCTGTAAACCCACCGGCTCAGTTCTTCCCCAATGGACACTGGACCCGTCGCTATAGCCATCCCCCACCCTCCCATAAGTCTCCTTGCGTTAGAAGTGGGCATCAGAAGGGGCACCTGGGTGGCTCAGCCGGTTAAGCTCCCGACTTCGGCTCAGGTCGTGATCTCACGGCTCGGGAGTTCGAGCCCCGCGTCGGGCTCTGTGCTGACAGCGCGGAGCCTGGCGCCTGCTTCGGATTCTGTGTCTCCCTCTCTCTCTGCGCCTTCCCTGCTTACGCTCTGTCTCTCTCTCTCTCTCTCAAAAATAAATAAACATTAAAAAAAAAAAAAAGAAGTGGGCATCGGAGACAGATGGTCAGAGAAGGCAGGGCCAGGGAGCCAAGCAGGGTCTACACATTCACGGCAGTGCCTTACTGTACTCACGGCCTGACTTGCCCAGACATCCAGAACAAATTGAGAGCAATGTGAACCCCGACTGCTAAGCTTTGTGCAAAGTCCGATTAGTCCCCCGCAAGACCATTACCTTTCTACCGCCAAAATATTACCCCTGTATAGCCAAAATATTACCCTTCTACCGCCAAAATATTACCCGTCTACCGCCAAAATTGGAAGAGAGCACTGCCCACTCTCTCCTCCTGCCAGCAAAGCCAAGGCTGGTGTCCCAGGGGAGCAGAAAATCATCCAAACAGAATTGCTCACGGCTCTGACCTCCACACCTACCACCCACCTGTTGCCCTCAATAAAGAAGGACAGCACGGGGTCACCTCTGCCATTGACTTTCATCACCTTCAGACAGTTCCCATTTAGGAAATTGTAAATGCGGATCTTGCCGTCGGCACAGGCGCTGATGACCCGGAGGAACAGAAGAGCCACATGAAGCACCTCCCTGGAAGAGAACAGAGCGGCAGGTTGTACCCGTGTGTTGCTGGAAGGCTTGGGTGTGTTGGTAGCGTGGGGTATTTTGTGTATGGTGGGGAGGCAGCGGTCACGACTGCCGTACCGGTTTGCCAGCCATTCACCTTCAGGACGTGGCTGTCCTCTCTCCTCCCATCCCGAGGTTATTTTTCCTGCAGTCCGGTCGCAGTGCCACAAGGTGGCGAAACACAGAGGCTTCTGTCGCGGGTTTTGTGCTTTTGCATTTTTGTTTTGTTTTGTTTTGTTTTGTTTTGTTTTGTTTTGTTTTGTATTTCTTTGGGGTTTTTTGGCCGGCGGGGGGGGGGGGGGGTCTGATCCAGAGGTGATCACGCTTTCCTCTTACAATTTGGTTCCTAGCTAATGACTTCTGAAAAAGTCATGCTGAGAACTTACTGTTTTGATGCCTTTTCAGATAGTATCACTAGATATTTTTCAGTGATCTCTACACGCAACACGGGGCTCGAACAACCCCGAGATCAGGAGTCACGCTCCACCAATGGAGCCAGCCAGGCGTCCCTAGCATCAGTGAAGAAAGAAATCCACACATGGGGAAATGATCTTTATAGGAAGCAAAAACCCAGTGTTTAAGCAGTTCCTTTGGGATCTTAAATGAGCGGCTTGCATTCTTCCAGTGAAACGTCCCGAAGGAAAGTTTTACCCAGGGACGAAATGTGGGAGCTCCCTTTGGTGGTGACCAGCAGAAGAGAGAGGGCCAGGTGACGTAGATGCTTCCCACAAAACCTTCCCACAACGGCTGCAGCCAAGCGGGTCTCCAGACGTGTGGAGTATTCAGCTACAAAATGCAATTACCCCATTCCTGTTAATGATACTAAAAAATTGAATTCGGGAGCGCCGGGGTGGCTCAATCGGTTAAGCATCCGACTTTGGTTCAGGTCCTGATCTCGTGGTTCGCGGGTCCAAGCCCCGCACCCGGCTCCGTGCCAACAACTCGGAGCCTGCTTGGGATTATTTCTCTCCCCCTCTCTTTACCCCTCCCCTGCTCAAGCTCGTGCGCTCTCGCTCAAAATAAATAAACTTAAAATTTTTCTTTAAGTGGAATCTGATGCCACCAATTTGTTAGATCTTATGTGTCTACCAAGTCCGTGGATCCCTGCCATCTGTACCCATCCAGGTCTGTCTATGGCCTTGCTCATGCGCTACCTTCTCCACAAAACCACCCTTTATCTCCATCTTCTCCCCTCCCCTCGCACACACATACACAAACCTCAGGTACACTGTTAAATTCTCACAACCTGTCTCTTACTCATCTTTGCATGCCCAGCACCTAACACAAGGCCCAGCTCGTAGAAGGTCCTCAATCAATATCTGATGAAAAGGTGAGTGTCAGCTCAGGTTTTGGAGTATGATTATTGATATAATGTGTTAACAGAATGACATTCACCCCATACCATCCGGCCTTAGCCCTGGTCAGATCCGCGGGTCAGATTAAGACATTTCAAGGCCCCAACCACTAGCAAAACAGAAACAACAAAGACCTTGAAAGCTACAGCATGCTTAGCACGTTCAAAGGACAGCAAAGAGGTCAATGTGGCTCCTGTGATGGATAGATCAGTCGATCAACTGGTCGCCCCATCTAAAAGTGAAAATAAGAGGCACTTGGGTGGCTTAGTCGGTTAAGCTTCTGACTTGGGCTCAGGTCACGATCTCGCGGTTCATGGGTCGGAGCCCCGCGTCGGACTCTGTGCTGACAGTTCAGAGCCTGGAGCCTGGTTCGGATTCTGTGTCTCCCTCTCTCTCTGCTCCTCCCCTTCTTGTGCTCGCGCGCGCTCTCTCAAAATAAATAAATAAACATTTAATAAATAAATAAAATAAAAACATATAATTACAATTTTCAGGCGACATCCTAAAGCTTGACTCTTTCCTTTCGTAAGTTTTGATAATCCAGACAACATGCTAAGAGGCTTACTGATAACCCCAGATAAATCACTGGACAGAAGCCCTTCCCAGCACCCACTCACCAATAACGCGGTCACACACCACAAAGAGTAAACACACACACGTAACTCAAATCCCCTTCCACTTCCCACAAGGCCAGCGTGCCGGCTCAAGAGGTTCCTACGAAGACACGAGGAAATCTAGGGCCATATTTTACCAAATGACTCTCGGTGATAGGTCCCCTAGAAGATCCATTCACTCTTTGAGTCAACTAGGGTAGCATCTTGTTTCCCTAGAGTTTTTTATAACGCACGCAGGGGAAGAAGCATTGTTCACGCGGTACAAGAGTGACATCGCACAGCCTATAAAAACCCGTGGCCGTGGCAGAACCGTTAACTGACCACAAGATCCTTTCCAAACAAGCTCAAATGTGACCTCAGACTACTTCTCCACTGGCTCCAAGCAGCCACCACCACTAAACTGGGATTGGAATTGTAAAATGAGACGTTTGCCGTCCTGGAATAGAATGTTGCCGGCAGGCTTGTAAGAAAGCTCCTTCTTTAACCCCTTGGTTATTTTTAAATCTTTGGCACTTGGATGATTTTAAGTAGAGGCCTGGGGTAAAGACCAACCCCAAGAATTTTCAGTTTACTGGCATTGGCATTATTTGGGATGGCTCTGCAAATGTTCATAAACATATGTAAGCATGTGGCCATTCCACCCTGAACGCGCCTAATGTCGTCTGATAACGGATATAAATGTGTCACATGTGTCATGAGCCTAACATTTCAATAACTTCTCGAAACCCACATCTAGTATACCATTATTACAAAATCTGGGCTGTGAGGGAAAAGGAGAGAGTCCCACATCCATCAACCAGGGCTTTCCTGGCACCTACTTCGGATGCTTGAAGGCCATGAGGCACCGCTCGTACTTTCCCACCATGCTCCAGGCCATGACCAGGCCATCTGCACCTCCTGAGACGAGATGCCACGGGTCAAAGCACAGACACTTCACGGCTCCCTCGTGGCCAATGAGAGTCTGCAAGAGAAGATGCCTCTGTTTTCAGCCCATCTGCCACTCAGACTGTGAGTCCTCCAAGGGCCAAAGCTGGAGGCTTCTTTGGATGAATCCCAACACACTCCGCCATTCTTTGCTTTTGTTCGGAAAAAGCCAGTGGTGTCCATGCCTCCCTCTCTGCAGAGCTCTCTCCCCAGTGAAGGAATGATTAAGGAGAGCCTTGCTCCTGACGGCTCTGTGGCTGGGGCAGGCCTCCTCTTCCTGGAGTCCGAGAGAGGGCCAGAATTCACCATCGTCTTCTGCCACAGGGGGAAGGGTCAGGTGTGTTCCAACCCCAGGTCCCTGCCAGGACCACAGGACACTTGGGGCCTCCCCGTGCCTGCTACTGCCGGTTAGACCACGGTGACAACAATACTGACGGGAAGAAAATGCACCAGCCGGCCCAGCAGCTTCTCGCTGTGCTCCGGTGTTCCCGGCACAAATGTCTCTCAGCACCGCCCACTAGAGCCAGGAGGTTTCAACTCTAGCAACACTTTGGGTGCGTGTGAGCATTCAGTCGCTTTCAAGAGCAGCCACTGTTCTCTTTTCACCAGAGAGTAAGGAGAAAAACTACTGTGACTTTGTTCATGTCCTTACCCCATGCAAGAGTCGGGGTAGAATGTTCTGGAAAAGGAAAAGCCACTGTCAAAAGACCCTGAGCCCGTATATCATACTGAGTCAGAACGTAGCCTGCTACCACCACTTGCATGCCAACGTAAGTCACATGATCCCTGACCCTCCACAGTCTCAGAATGGCCCTCTTTTGGGGTGGGGTGGGGGGGGCCGTGGGAGGGGAGTTTCCCCTAAAATTCTTCAGGACCACCCTTTGGGTGACTCTAACATGATAGCTTTAAGATGGTCTGAAGAGCTCTATGGGGGAGACCGTGAGTCTCCTCCCATCCATGACCATCGGTACCCCCTCCCCCCTCCCCGCCCCCGCCCCCGCCAGCCCACTGCTCTCTCACCTTTACCAGCTGGGCCGTGACAGTGTGCCACACTTTGACTATCCCCCGCTCACAGCTGCTCACGATGTAGTTGTCATTGATCCTGGCGGCCCAGATGGGGTCTTTGTGTTTGAGCGTCTTCAGGCACTTCCCTGTCTCGACATCCCACTCTGAAAGGGGTGGGGAGGGGCGCGAAGGCAGGTTATGGTGGAGTTCTACAGCCCAGCACAGAAGCCACGCCCATCAAGGGAGACCCTAGAAGGCCTCCGCCTGGCCCAGCACCCCTGCAGGCTCACCAACAGCTCCAGGAGCCTGCAGCACAGAACTCCCTGCCCGTGGGTCCCTGAGAGAGCCGGCAACGCAGAGACCTTGGCTCTAACCCTACAACTCAGCCTTGGGGTCCCAGCGCTAGACAGCTCATCTCTAATAAGCCTCCTTCTTTTTTTTATTTATTTGTTGGTTTTAATATGAAATTTATTGTCACATTGGTTTCCATACCACTCCCCGTGCCCATCCCGACAGGTGCCCTCCTCAGTGCCCATCGGCCCCCCCCCCCCCCCCCATCAACCCTCCCTTTATTCTCAGTTTTTAAGAGTCTCTCATGGTTTGCCTCCTTCCCCCTCTGTTAACTTTTTGTTCCCCTTCCCCTCCCCCATGGTCTTCTGTTAAGTTTCTCAGGATCCACATAAGCGTGAAAACATATGGTATCTGTCTTTCTCTGTATGACTTATTTCACTAATAAGCCTCCTTCTTGAGCCTGAAAAATACTTGCTATTGAGTGGATTTCAGGAAAATCACGGCATGTGTTTCATGGCATTATTCCTTCCAGATACTATTCGCCTGACTCACCCCATCTATGTCCAAAGGAAAAGCAAGTTGTCTATCCTTATTTACATTTAACCATATTTCTGGGGGTGCCTGGGGGGCTCCGTCGGTTAGGCACCTGACTTCGGCTGACGTCACGATCTCACAGCTCGTGAGTTCGAGCCCCGCGTCGGGCTCTGCGCTGACATCTCAGAGCCTGGAGCCTGCTTCGGATTCTGTTTCTCTCTCTCTCTCTCTTTCTCTCTCTCTGCCCCTCCCCCACCCCTCAAAAATAAATCAACATTGAAACCATTTTAACGTTTGTTTATTCCTTTTAAACAACCGATTTCTGAATCTGACTTCTGGATTTTACTACTTGAGAGACGGCCACAGCTGGGGGCAGGCTTCACCTTTCTACCACCCACCATCCTGCGAGTGTTGGGAAGGTGTGAAAATAGATGAGCAGGTGGGAGAATAGACCTTAAAGGAAGAAACTGGAAGCAGGCACCACAGATTCGGGAATGAGACCGTTCAAGTTGGCCCCATCAGCCCCAAAGTACCTCTCAGGCAACAGAGTGTACGACCTAAGACCAAGTAATGACCACAGCTGATACCTCCGTAGAGCACTAACGACGAGCCAGGCCCCATTGGAAGTGCTTGGTGTATATTAACTCGTCTTCGCGAGACAGCTACTGTCTTTATTCCCCACTACACAGATGAGGAAACTGAGGCACAGAGGGGTTCAGTAACCTGCTCAAGATCACGCAGATGGCAAGCAGATAGAGCTGGGATTCGGACCCTTAGAGCCTGGCCCCAGAACCCATGCTCTTAACCACATACGCTAGATCAACCCTAACTTCTGTAAGTACGCTTTCTTCACTTGTTTTTTCCATATACGTTGGCCTCTTATCCAATTAGAAAGCACAAAGTTGATGGGCTCCCGGCTGGCTCAGTCAATACAGGGTGTGACTCTTGACCTCGGGGTTGTGAGTTCTGAGCCCCACGTCGGGGGTAGAGATTGCTTAAAAATAAATTCTTTAGGGGCGCCTGGGTGGCGCAGTCGGTTAAGCGTCCGACTTCAGCCAGGTCACGATCTCGCGGTCCGTGAGTTCGAGCCCCACATCGGGCTCTGGGCTGATGGCTCAGAGCCTGGAGCCTGTTTCCGATTCTGTGTCTCCCTCTCTCTCTGCCCCTCCCCCGTTCATGCTCTGTCTCTCTCTGTCCCAAAAATAAATAAACGTTGAAAAAATAAATAAATAAATAAATTCTTTTAAAAAAAGGGGGGGAAGAAGGCTGAAGGATGAATTAAAAGATTCATTGGGAATCGTTGGGAAAAGATTCATCGGGGGAAACCCAGGGGGAACAGGTAGGCCAGGAGGCTGGGACTAGGATTAGGGGGAAGAGAGAGATCTTGGGATATTTTTTTTTTCCATCATGTATTTTGTGAATTAATTTTGGCCTTTTAGATATTGTGTGAAAATGTGGTATCTTTGATTACCAGGAGTTTGGGGTGCCCCCTTAAGTTTTACACCCGAGGTGAGAGCCTAGCTCCCCTTGTCCTAGTTGTAGCCCTGCCGGGGGCCCCCCGAGACTCCCTCAAATCTGGAGGCCTTGTCTGCCCTTCCATCTCCAAACTCTCCTCCTTTCAGGCCGTCTGCTCTACTCCTCAACGCAGTCGTGGCAACGAGAACTTCCGGTCAGGTCAAGGAGGAAAAAGAGGTGGGGAGTAAAGTTTCTTAAGCAGGTCTGAGTGCCGGCGGATGGAACATCACTCCGCTTTCGCTTTCCTGCCCCTTTTGCCCCCACCTAACACGGCTGTGACTTCCTGGGTCCCTCGCCTCCCTTCGCTTTGCGTTCTCTCCTCGTGCTTTGCAGGGGAAATCTCCACGCCTGGCGTCTCCACCGTTCATTCCAATTGATAGCCACCAAACCAACGCAGCTGGAGCCCCAGACCTACGGTGCAGTCAACTCGCGTGGCAACTCACACGTGCATCTGCCTCCTGCAGTCCTCACCCGGGTGTCCTTGGGACTCCCGTACCCAGTGTGTTAGCTTTCTATCGCTGCTGTAACAAATTCCCACAAGGTTAGTGGCTGAACGCAACACAAATGTACTATCTGACGGAAGCCTGATGTGACCTCACAAGGCTAAAAAAATCAAGGTGTCCGCAGAGCTGTGTTCCCTTATGGAGATTCTGGGGCTGGAGGGATCCGTATCCTTGCCTGTTCCACCTTCCCAGGGCCACCCATATCCCTTGGCTCATGACCCCCTTTCTCCATCTTCAGAGCCAGCAACGTCGCATGTGTCTGAGCACTCCTCATTGTCACATCTCCTTTTGATCACGGACAAGACAGTTTCTGTTTTTAAGGACCCATGTGATTACCCATCTGATAACCCAGGGCCGTCTCTCCCTTTTCGGGTCCTCAGCTTAATCACATCGGCAAAGTCCCTTTTGCCGTGCAAGGTGACACGGTCACGGTTTCCGGGGATTAGGAGGTGAACGTGTTCGGTTGGCCATTATTCTGCCTACCACACTCAAGAGGTCCAAAACTGAAGCCAGCATCTCCCCCTTCGTTCCTCACCCTACCCTATTCTTCCACTGTGGTCCTTATTGCCATTAATGGCACTTCCAAATACCCAGTGACCTGAGTTTAAAAGTCCGGCCTCATTATCTGCCCTCCTGTCACCTCATGTAAACTCATAGCCACCTGACTTTCTTCACACTTGCCTGTTCTTGGCTATTCTTTTTTTAAATTTTTTTTTTTTAACATTTATTTATTTTTGAGACAGAGCATGAACGGGGGAGGGGCAGAGAGAGAGGGAGACACAGAATCTGAAACAGGCTCTGGGCTCTGAGCAGTCAGCACAGAGCCCGACGTGGGGCTCAAACTCATGGACGGTGAGATCGTGACCTGAGCCGAAGTCGGATGCTTAACCAACTGAGCCACCCAGGTGCCCCCTGTTCTTGGCTATTCGAAGATACCACCGCAGTTCTCCAGACTGGGTACTGTCTTCACTTGTCCCCATCTCCACCCAGTCCCTTCCCTCCAACCTTCTTCCACACTATGACTAGAGTCATCTTTCTCAGAAACACATCTGATCATGTCAGTCCACAGCTCAGAGTGCATTTATAGCCTCCTGCATTCTATAGGATGAAGGTCAACGTCCTACCCGGATGCAGAAGGCCCTTGATAATCTGGCCCCAAACAAAGTAACCAGCCTTCTGTCCGACACCACACGCTCTACTGCAGCCGTACCCAGCAAGGGGAAATTCCCCAAATACACCATTTTCTTCAACCTTCTGCAAATTTGCCTGTGCTGTCCCTTCTACTTAGAACGGCATTCATTCTTCCACCGCTTGTAGAACGACGCATCATCAAGACCACACTCAAACAGCACCCTGTCTGTGGCGCTTTCCCTCACTCTTATTTCTGTGGTCCCTTAGAACTCCGCGTGTTGGTTAGGAGCGCGTGATCTAGAGTCAGACAGCCCTGGGTTCAAATCCCCACTCCACCACTCAGCGGCTCTGATCTGGGGCAAGCTGGTTTTTTCTCCGAGTTTTGGATTCCTCATCTGCATCCATGCCACAGGCTTCTTGTGAGGGTTGAATACGATAATATATGTAAAGCACCGATGTCAGTCATGAACTTGGTGCTCAATAAATGGTGGCAGTTACTATTCACATATTTATGATCTCCTCCATTGTATATTTATGTATCTGTCTCCATTATGAGATTATGAGCCTCTTGGGGAAATAAAAAGCCATATTGAACAGGATCATATTCATTTTTTTTAGCACTTAGCACAGCGTCTAGCATATTGTAGGTATTCCGCAAATAGTTGTGAAGTAAATGGATGGATGGATGGATGGATGGATGAGTAAAAGAATGTCTTCCTACAGAAATGAGCTAAACAAGTATTTTGACAACCCATGGATTTGGGGAAGCTTCTTAGAAAGTTTAAGGCATTTCTGTCTCACCTTTCACCTGGCAATCTCTTGCTCCGGATACAAGTCTGTTCATATATAAATCCATGCAAGTGACTGTCCCCTGATGGCCATTGAAGATTCGTATACAAGCCCCACTTTTCAGATCCCAGTATCTGCAGGAATCAGGCCAAAAACAAAAAACAAGAAATGCTTTTGAGATTCTTCTCAGGGCCCAAGGGATCATATGGCACACAAGTTCCCTTAGATCAACAGTTTGCTGAAAGGCAGCAAAGTTTCAGGGTTAAGCTCAGAGTCAGAGGCCTGGATTTGATTTCCAGTGGCAGCACCCGTTAGGTGTAACTTTGGGAAAGTTACCTAATTTCCGTGTAAGTGTCATTTCCTCATTGGTGAAACGGAAATGATAATAATAATAGTTCCCTCTTAGGGTTTTTGGTAAAGAATTAAATATACAAATTGGATGATGGTCACCCAGGCGTGATTTCCACCCCTAGAGGATATTTGACAATGTCTGGAGACATTTTTGGCTGTCACAAGTAGGGAGAGAGCTGCTAATGTATCCGGTGCTATGGTCCAAGGGTACGGCTAAATGTCCTCCAGTGCACGGGACAGCCTCCACAGAAGGTACCTTCCAGCCTCAAAGTTGAGAAATCCTGCATTGATTCGTGTAACATTGGAACAGCGATCAACGTGTAGGAAATGCATAATAAATGTTGGTTGGTATTACATTGGAAGAGGTTTCTGGAATGACCACCAGGCTTAAAACCCATGGCACCCATTCAACAGCAGAGGTGGTCTTCAAACAGAAACAACAGAACAATCTACTTCAGCCATTTGGATCCAAAACGTCTTATGGGTACTTCTAAAGCATATCTTAGAGATCTACGGGAACAGAGGTATGAGTCACACTGTTCTTTAATAAGCAAATTTGCCTGAGGTCTCTCAACTGTCGCTGATACAGACTCGCATTTCACCCGGATTGCTTTTATGACAGGGCAAAAATGTAATGTTAAGGTAGTAGATTCTGGAGTGAGGCTGCCTGAAGTCCAATCCAGTCCATCACCTACTTACTAGCTGGTATGATCTTAGAGGAGCTAATAACCACCCTGTATCTCAGCTTCCTCATCTGCAAATTGAGGCTAATAATGGTAGTTGCCTCATAGAGTTCTTATGAGACTTGGTACATAATAAACGATTGATAAGTGTTTCTTTTGTTTTCCTTCGAATGTGCTAAGCTTTTTCTTCTAATACTCCCAAAGGGGGGCGCCTGGGTGGCTCAGTCGGTTAAGCGGCCGACTTCGGCTCAGGTCATGATCTCGCGGTCCGTGAGTTCGAGCCCCGTGTCGGGCTCCGTGCTGACAGCTCAGAGCCTGGAGCCTGTTTCAGATTCTGTGTCTCCCTCTCTCTGACCCTCCCCTATTCATGCTCTGTCTCTCCCTGTCTCAAAAATAAATAGAAACAACAACAACAACAAAATATATAATACTCCCAAAGGTCCTGTGGCCTTACCCATCTGTCACAGGTATGGGGGGAAGGGAGAGAATGACTAGGCAGAGCACCAAGAATTTGCAGGGCAATGGAAATAATTCTATATGATACCATGATGATGGATACATGTCTTTATGCATTTGCCCAAAGTCATAAAATGTACACCACCAAGAGTGAACCTTAAAGTAAACTACAGATTTGGGGTGACTTATGATGTGTCATTGGAGGTTCGCCAGTTGTAACAAATGTCCCGCTCTGGCCGGGGAGGCTGTGCATGTGAGGAGCACGAGGTAATGGGAAATCTCAGTACTTTGCTCTCAAACTTTGCTATGAACCTAAAACTACTCTATAGGAATTGTCTTTTTTAGAAGATGTGTTTGATGCAAGAACAGAAAAACAAACCAAGAGTCTACAAGAGAGAGCTCACAGAGACATTCTCATCTATATGTGGGGAAATCACCATATGACAAAGATGGCCCCACAGGTCAGTGGAGAAAATGGCAGGTTCCTGGCTAAACAACCACTGTGGGGGAAACTGCTCACTTTCTTTCAAAATAAATAAATATAATGGAAACTCTACCCAACATCACATACAAAGTTGGGCTGCAAATGGTTCAAAGAACTGAATGCAAAAAGTCAAACTATAAAGTTAA